AATGTGGTAAAAAACGGTAAAGTAGAAAAGAGCTCAGCATCAGATAAATATGGCAAAAGAGGGTTGAATTCAGAAAGAAAAAATATAAAAGGAAGCTGGATACAGCTGTAGCGCGACGGCTGTAGCGCGACAGCTGTAGCGCGACGATCGTAGCGCGACGGCTGTAGCGCGACGCTGTAGCGCGACGCTGTAGCGCTACAAGTCTGAACGCTGCCTAAGGCATTGTTCACAGTCTGCGACCCTGACGAAACGGCGGTTGGGAGAAAAGCAAAAAATAGTCATCGATCGGAGAATCGCCAACCGCTAGTTTCGCCGAACCGCCGCGGTTCGGCGGTTGGGCGAAAAGCAGTAGATGTGTATCGATTTCGCTGGCGAAAAACGCCACGGCGATCGAGCTAGCGTTTCGTCGAAGGCGAAAAACGTCGCGGTTTGGCGAAACGCCCGTCGATTCGTATCAAAACCCTTTCGCCCAACCGCCAGACTCTTCGCCCAACCGCCAGTCGATACGTATCGAAAGCTTTTCGCCGAACCGCCGCGTTCCAGAGAAACGCTGGACCGCAGACTGCACAATGCCTAAGGCAGCAACAGTCGTACCGACCGCGGACAGGAGCTCAAGCGGGCAGGCGTCACAAGGAACGATGAGAGAAGTAAAGGCCGAATCTGGATGAGCCGCATTAGGGAGCCTGAGACGCCGTCCGTTGTAAGGAGGAACGGCGGAGAGTCGTAATGATCAAAGATTTGTGTTCGTGACGTGTTGTTGGAGCAAGATAGACTCATGGTGATTCGGGAGTGATAAGAGGAGGAAGCAGGAGTAAGCCGAACCTGTGGTAAACGGTCGCAGAGTGTAAAGCCGCCCCCTGAAACATGGACTGGATGGGCACTCGAGGGAGATGTAGGGGAGCGGTGTGGAACGTGAAAATCAAGAGAGTGAAGATGAATGATCGAGAGGACTGATATGATGTTTGGGTGCGTAAAAGGGTTGTCTGCGGTGTAAAAAAGCATTCCTCTCCTCTGTCTCATCGCAACTGTGGCGATGTAGTGGCAAGTGCCCTGCTCAAGCGACAATGGGAGCCGGGCCGCAGCGAGGTTGGCGGACCTACTAAGATGGTATCCGGAGTTCGAATTACGTCCGCCATCGAACTTACAGTGTTGGGCGGCCACTTCTGAGTTGCAAAATCTGCCCCTCCCTGTCGCACCCCAAACCACTTCCCCTTGCTCTTGATGCAGTTATCGGAATCTGTGTTCCTCTCCTTAGCATATCTTGTTTTTCACTGTTTATCTTATTGCCGATACTAACAAAGAAAGAAAGAAAGAAAGAAAGTGGCGTATTTGTAAGAAACATTGTCCGTGGATGAAATTTCACCCTTGTCGCGCACCTGTAGAGCTCAAACCAAAGTGAACTAGAGAAAGAAAAAAAATTTGGAGCATTTTAGGGAGACGAATTTTTCATCACACCACTCTTAACTTTCTGTTCAACTTGGGCAGATAAATATTTAAGTAACACAACTAGTAGGGCTCCAAAGGGTGAGGTTGTGATGAAGCGACCAAATTGAAGACCATCTCTCACCCCACGAAGTTCTGTGGGAGTTTTTGAAGCACTTATTTTCGGTGTTTATCATCAAAAATGAGCTTCTGCTGCTTGTTCGCTTTTCTATTAACTCAAAGTTTAGTCACTACTTTACAACTGCTGATTCGCAACTATTTACCTCTAAAAATAGAATCAATTTCAAATATTCTCGTAACGTCATAATTCCGAAGTGTATACCACAGGCGCAGCTCTTTTTTCATCACTTTCTCAAACAGGTTGCTTTCAAATTTTTGGCCGTTTAGAGTAGAGTCCTGTGTTTTCATGGTCCTTATGGTGGTCAAAAATTGAATTGGCATGATCTTATGCAAAAGTGCCGATGTGTGCGTGAGGCCGTCCCCTGGGTATTTTTTTTCAAAGTGAATGTTTTGCACTGTGTATAAAGACCGACCGTCTAAGCTAGAAAAAAGTATAGAGAAATTTGAAAAATTGGAACCATGGAGATTCTAAGGGGAACCTCACGAAGGAAGAGCAGTAAAGAACATCAGAAACTGTGTTGTGGATTTTGCCACTATAGGGTCAATTAACATTTTTTACCAGATATAGTTTGTTCCAAATAAGGAGAATTGGGGAAGTCGCTAGTGAAGTTCTATGGCGAAAGACTGTGGTTGACTTTGCCATTTTCAGATGAGTCATCCAGGTATGACTTCGTTCATTGCTATCGTTGAAAACGAATCTCGTGCACGAACGCGATACAACCTCCTCAATCGTATGATTCTACCTTGCGGACCGCCACCGGAGAAGTCACCGCTTGATGACTGATATGATCTCTTTGCGATTCTTTTCTGTAATAAATTCTGTTTTGTATCGAAGGCTTCCTTGTTGCCCTTGAGGAAGGTGTTGAATCCATTTCAGTACTTTCTTTTTTTTTTCTTTTTATTGTTTACAGAGAAACATGTTCAGATTATAGGCTTGAGTTGTGTATGCACTTCTTCCCAATCACTGCTGAATGTTCAATGTATCTCTCCAGAAATTACTAGGGAGACGAGACGAGCCATATTTCTTTCGCGGTTTTGCTCATCATGGTCAGTTCGATATTAGGGAGGTGTGTACAGGGTTTCTATTGCACGAATATTGGTTATGGCTTTTTTAATTTGTGGTTGGCCTTTTTGCCTACTGTGGCTTTGTAGAATGCTCAATTTTCGTGAGAGACTACTCTGCGGTACAGCGTTTTGCCGTGCAACTGGACTTGATAAGGGGCTGCTTCTTTTTCTTCTGGGTTAGTTTGTAGATTTCTGGGGGCAGTTCATTATACTCTATCGCTTTAGCATTCAATCTCGTGTATGTTTTTCTTGTCGTTATATTCGAGCAACCTTTTGTCTTAATTTTTCACGGTTAGACATTCAAAAAATCCCTGTACGCGGGTTCTCCTCGCTGTGACGCGATAACGCCGATTTTGATTTCCACTATCCCGCGAGACTGTTTTGTTCGATTCTGTGGTCGAAAAAGTTTTATAGTTTTGCCGCCTGGTCATTTCGCCGCACGTTACGTCTCGTCGTTATGTGTCGATGAATTTTTGCCCGTTTTGGACTCCCAAAGTTGCGACACCGAACCCATTCTTAATTTGCTAAGGTGCCCAAATCCACGCTCGGTAAAGCTTAGGTATACACAAACCTAGGTGTACGTATTTTAACCAATGCCATCCTTCAACTGAGGTTTTTAATACGGCTTTCCCGCATTACCACCTTGTTTGCTTTCCACCGTCGCGGCGGGGTCACAGTTGGGGTATTCGCCGGTGGCGACATATGAGATGATCTTCGACTTCCGTTTAGCTGTGTTCTTGTTGGTTCTCCTGGGCTCGGGCAGAGCCGCATTAGCAGAGGCGGCAGATAGTCGTGGGGTATCTGGGTCATGCTGCCATCTTACGTTTCATGCGACAGATGTCTGAATGTCCATAGTGTCTCAGTCACTCTGACTCTTTCAATCGTTTCTACTCCATCGGGCCTCTATCCACTTAGTTTTTGTTCTAATGGCGGACTTGGGTCGATTCAGAGCTAATTTTATGCAATTGAGTTCGGTGCTGAGACTTTGCTGGAGTCCAAACGGCATAGCCTTACGTGTGCTTGCTTGGCCACCTCGCCGCGCTTTTTAGGGGTTTCCGAGTGGCTACTCGGGGTTTGGCAATTCTACGACGGCCACGAAGATCAAAGATTCGTGTGCACTTATGATTGGGACTATACGAGCATGTGTGGGTTTTAGTTGACTTGTTCAGTCGCTATCAGCGCCCGCTTCGGGCAGCGGTGGACTTGATTTTTCCCGAAGTCGCGTTTGCTTGCGGTGTTGGGATGATTAGAGTTGCTTACAGAGTAAACAGTTGTGTGATAGGTGTTGGCTAGGGGTACGTGGTTATCTGAAAATGGGGAAACAAGAAAACAAGACAAAGAAATGAGACCGTTTATAATTGATTTTAGATTTAACCGTTTGTTGACTGATTATTTGGTTTTCCGATGTCTCGCATTGGTTTGGTGGTTTGGGGATGGCGTTTGCTTGCATTGCCTTGCCAGTGGTGCCTCACGTTGCTTTCGATGGCGAAATAGTTTTTGGCATCCCACTGGTCCCACCACCAAGTTTGTAAGTGTTCGCCACCTTCTACATGCGTATCAGTTCGCAGGTTGCTCGGTCATCGGAGAAAAAAATGGTCCTCTATCGTGTCCACAACAGGCATCGGTCGAATTAAGTGTCTGGTCAATGCGTTAATCACGGTTTTAGGCAACACAGAGCTCTCTTTATGGTTCTTGTGCCTCTGGTAAAACAAACCATTACATGGTCGTGCCTCTGTTTTATGGTGTGGCGAGTACTCTTTCTATGTGTTCTGTTCATGTTGGTTATTGGTGCTTGCCGGAAGGAATGTTCTTCTTATTCATGTATCAATATGGCTTTTGATGCTTCCTATAGGGATTATCTGTGTGCGTTCACGGGCTGCTTTGGGTGTGCCTTCTGTTTGCGGTTCGGTTGGGTCGTGGCAGCGTTTTGCGCACCGTTGCTTCGCTTTCTGGTATTTGTGAGGGTTTCTATACTTTGTTTGCTTTTGGTTTTTTCAGCCTTCCTTGTTTTTTTTGTTCCTCCTTGCTTTTTTGCGTTCTAAAGAGCAGTACCAAAAGAATAGTGACTAATGAGTAACCTGTCAAGGATGGGTCGGTAGTACAGCTGTATCAGTCTCACCTTTCCGTGAATTTCTCAAGAAAACTCCAGCAACCTTCCCACTTTTCTCTGTAAGCAACTCTAATCATCCTAACGTTGGAAATAGCAGTACGTTGCGAAGCGGCGCTGTAGCGCGACGCTGTAGCGCGACGCTGTAGCGCGACGCTGTAGCGCTACAAGTATGAACGCTGCCTAAGTGAAGCGGCTTGCCCCCCCCCCATGTGATTACTCCAATGTGTTGGACTCAACCGCTCACAAAGAATTTATTATGCAACTGCAACAATCTTCTCGTTTAAATAGTGGATAACAATCAATAACAATACCGGTGTTGACCGGTTCAACGGGCGACTCGTGGTTGACGGGTTCTTACAGGTATTCTGTCAGGGAGGCCGTAGAAGTGGTTATCAGCTGAAAAAAAGGTTTGTTGGGAGGCTGCCCCTTTCACATGGCGTATTTCTACCTTCCTCCCTCATGTACTCTTCAAAAGGCTCTCCTCGTGCGAGATACTGGTCCATCTTTAACAGAAAAGAAAGAGTGCGCGGCGAGGAACGTGTAGGTACTGAGCTGGTGTTCTGAGAAAATGGAGAATCGCGAAGAGTCGACACTTTGGGTAGGGCGCATGGAAGGAGCGGATGGGTAACCATGGAGGACTGCTATTCTCCGATTATTGTGTTTTCCCCAATCAGCGTCTTGAGTACTTCGAGCGTTTTGGGCTGAAAAGGATGAGTATCGGCGACCATTTTCAGCGTTTCGAGGCTGCGTTCATACTTTTCGTTGGCGTTTAGAGCGTATGGCAGTTGAGCATTGAAACGCTAGCCTACTCTAATCGAAACCTATAATTTCCTAGTCGCTCAAAACCCTAAGTCAATAGCTATTCTTCCCTTTTCGCACAGAACGTTGGTGTTTCTTGAAGAACGCCAGATCGATACTTATACTTACACCTTCACCCAAAACACTCGGCGCGATCAAAGCGCCGACAAAAAGTATGAACGCAGCCTTACTATTATTACGTTGAATTTCCTTAGCACTTGGGTGATTTCTCGATTAGGTTGTAACAGCTTCCGTCTGTCATGTACAATTCACGACTTTGTACCGTAGGAATTGTATTCCTCTTTTGGTTAGAGCGCGTACTTGCTTCGCGATGCGATCGCGCAATCCAGGCTCGAAGTATGAACGCGCTCTTAGGACCCAAATCCTACTATGAATTTCGGGATGACTGTGAAATTACATTATAGATCCTTGAACAGTCTTCAAAATCGCTTTATCTGTGTGGATGGGAGAAAATCCGAAAACATTATTCAAATCTTACCTGAAAGCTTCTCATCGTAGCTAGTGTTCTTGGTGAATGTCGATAGAACATAATCAAGGCTCAAGCAATCCTTTGAATTCAGTACCAGTCGAAGTGCGTTTAATCCGTCATATTTGCGTGTTTTTCCCAAGTTTTTCTCAAGCTGCTTTTTTTATTTTCAGAAGAATGTCGGTCGGGAATCGCTTTACGAATAAACTTGCTAGCGAGAAGTCGCCATATCTCTTACAGCACCAGTACAATCCTATTGAATGGTGCGTTTATTTGTTTCTTCGGAACAGTCTTACGAGAATAATTTCATGCTACTGACCGTGCGATTTTTTTTATATTTGGGATTTACCATTATTCCCTTGTTGCGTTCTCTCTTTTGTTGTGTACATGCAGGTATCCTTGGGGATCTGAAGCCTTTGAGAAAGCGAAGCGACTGAATCGTCCAATTTTCCTTTCAGGTGAAGATTTGCTCGAGAATGTGCCCCTATTTGTAACTCAAAAACGGCTAATTGTTTTCAGTTGGTTACTCGACTTGCCACTGGTGTCATGTGATGGAAAGAGAGTCCTTCGAGAATGACGAAATCGCTCGCCAACTGAACAGCGATTTCGTCTGCATAAAGGTGTGGTCACTACCTTTTCTGCTCTTGGAGAGAATGTGAAGTTATGATAAGAATACTCTTCGAAAATTATTAGCCTAGCTTATCACATTGCGGCTTCTATAAAGGCACGCTTACCGTTCATTTGATGTGCAGACGTCCTCAACAGACTGGGTAGCGCTGTTCGCAAGCGCAGAGGGGTAGCACAAAAGACAGGGGGAAAAGCGCGACCTGCTCGCAACGAGTACACCTACCCGCCCACTGGCCACGGCAACGTCCAACTTTCATTCCTGAACGCCTCCTGCTGGTGCGTTTATTCCGCCACTAGCTCTCCCCATTTCGAATGATGAGACTGAGGTGATAAAGAGAAAGAGCTAACAGCAGTGGGTGAGAATTTGTCCTACCATGCCCTTTCTTCGCCGTTTGCACATACAAGCATGGCTCAGCATGGGGTTTTATGTTCTTGAACGCGGGACTTTCCTTCAAGAACGCGCTCACACGTCGCGATCTGGTTGCTCCCCCTGCGTACCCAGTCTGAGACCAGCCCATTAGTGTATGTTATAACTACGAGCTTCAGATGTATTCTTATTACACCTCAGCACACTTGCAACTCCACAGCCGCTTACTTAAAATCGAAAGTCGAAGTTCTTTTAGTCATTGTCGCGAACTGTGGTCTATGAAACCAACACTGGGTGTATTCAATGTGAAGTACCCAATGGTTATTTCAGGTTGATCGTGAGGAACGTCCTGATGTTGATAAATTGTACATGGCCTTCATTCAGGTAAACACCGACACTGTTTTTTATTTAATTGCTTTCAAGCCGCGTTTATACTTGCAACATTGCCGGTGAGGAGAGTGTACGCCAAACGGTCAGCTGGGCAGCGAGCAACTCCGGTTTTCTCTTGTTTTCTTAACCTTCTATCCTCCTGCTCTCCGGATCTCATATTCTTGCTTTGCCAGGTCACACACCTGATGTGACGTAATGCTGCGAGTAGTGACTTGTTTGGCGCAGTGTTGCGATGATTTTCACTCATACCGACTGACACTTTTTCTTGCGGTTCTTTGGCAGGAAATCATATTTTATCATCATTTACTGTATGTGCGTTCAATGCATTGTGCAATCGTCAGTTTGGATCACATTTCATGTGTGGATGCTGGAACTTTTGGGAATATATACCATTTTCACTTTAAATCGGACACTTTTCAAACCAAATCGGACACTTTTCAAACCAAATCGGACACTTTTCAAACCAAATCGGACACTTTTCAAACCAAATCGGACACTTTTCAAACCAAATCGGACACTTTTCAAACCAAATCGGACAC